TAAAGTTTTTGTTTGTTAACCTACAAGGGCATTGTCATATGAAAAACAGCGTGAGGAGGGCCGTTTTAGACCTATTTTGAGCATGAGCTAGGTCTACCATTTTAATCAGAAAGACACTGTATCGATTTTAAATTAATTTTCTTGAAATCAGTAGGCCTGTTCGTGTCTTTGTAGGCTTTATCATAAATTGGCAGTACATCGTTAACATTTCCACATAAAATTTTATACCTATTTGTAGCTCCTTTGGGATGGTAATTAATTTGAAAATCCAATTCGCGAAAGTGCGTAGGCTTATACTAAGTGGTTGAGATACTCGCTGTTTTTAACCACATACGCAATTTTAGCGTATTAAGTTCTACTGTTTCAGTTGCCAATTTACTTTTATTTCACAGAATTAATTTTAATTCAGCCACTTCTGTCACATTAGGTAACCCTTCACGTTTCAGTGTCAATTGCATTTGATCCGATCAGTGCTGATCGGTTTAAATCTGCATTCTTGTATACATAGTATTTTGCTGAAGTAGAAAAAAATCGCTAGGGGCCTACTGTTTTACATGACTCTTTTTTACTTTAAAATTTTTCTCGTATTCTGTATGATGATTGACCTGAAGTAATATTTATTTCCCAGCTTTCTCAAGTTAAATATCTGAATGCACATTATTTATGACGAATGAGTTTCACGATCTATTCATGACCAAAGTGATACATATTTCTGAAGAAATATGATGGGTTATCAGGCGTGTACTGAGATCATACTATAACATACAAATGAAATACTTCGAAGAAAAAAAAATCATTTAGTGAATCTAACTGTTAGAATTGAAAGTGATTGTGAAATGGAATCTGTTTATGAAAGTAAATCTGATGTTGAAAGTGAATCTGATTGTTAAACTGATCCGTAAACATTGCTACATTTATGAGTAGACATGTTTTACTACTTATTTGGCATGGATTTTGGGAATAAATACTAAAAGAACTAGCTCGTTACAAGCATTCCCGATTTCAGGGATGTCCAATCCTTATAAATGATATTGGTATAAAGTTTTATCCCCTAGTAAATCAGCCATTTCAAAATATATCAGTATATCAAATTTTAAGTTGTGCGACTTGTCTTCGATTAAAGAATTTGCTTTAATTTTCTTGAATACTTATCTTGAAATATATTTTTTCATTTGCTACAATACATCATCTGTTTAGGCTGAATTTTGAAAGCGTTATTTAACTTGGATCAATTTAATACTTATTTAGGACCTTATTGTATTCCTTTTTATCATGTTGGCTTTGTATTTTTGTCAGAAAATATCTGTCTTCATAATTATTAAACTGAAAGTTTGTCAGGAAACCAGGAAATTCAAGTCTTTTACGGTTGGAATTCATGCTTATAGTGACTTATTATTCACCTGACACGAAACCGAAGTCGAGGAAAAAATATCAGAATTAAGAAGTTGTTTTACTACTACTACTACTAATGCGGGGATTTCGACTTCGCCCAGAAAATCGAAATATTTTACTGAAAAATCTTACGTAAACATTGACAGGCACAATGTTTGTACTCCAAACAATATATTTGAAAAACACTCGGTATTTCTTTAAATAATGTAGGTACTTTGATTTGTTTTATTATTTATTACTATATTTTTTACTATTTTACTTAGCTTTTTTTTGCAATCACGTCATTTAAAAATCTTGAAAAAAAAAAGAAAAAAAAAAGAAAAAATTTTTTATACAGAAGAATGTGGCGAGTTTAGAATGAATCTAAAGTAAATTTCATTGTGACTTTCATGTTTTAAATGTTTTGCACAATATTCGAATTAAATATTCTGGCTGTTTTTATGACAGAGGGCCTACAGGGCATTAATGTAGACAGATATATTTGAGGAAGTTAAACGGTTTAAATAAGTATCATGTTCAAAGTCGTGTGTCGTCTGTGTAAATTTGCATGAATATTTATTGAAGTTACTGTTATTTCTTAAACAAACATCAATAGACAACATCGCTCAGATAATTGGAAGCTTTGTGTGTTATTTTGCGGTATAGACCCTCGAACTTACGTGGAAGACCTTGCTTACGTCATAACGCCTAATTCTCACCAGCTGGCATACGTGTTTTTAAGCTGCTTTGCCTTCCATCAGTTTAATATTTACAGTACAAAAAAAAAAAATAATAATAAAAAAAAAAATAANGGGAAACCTTTGCTTACGTAAAACCCCTTAATTCTCCCCAGCGGGCAACCTTTTTTTTAAGTGTTTTGCTTTCCATCATTTTAATATTTACAGTAAAAAAAAAAAAAAAAAAAAAAAAAAAAAAAAAAAAGTCGAAACCCATCCCTTGTGTTTTGACGTAAAATAAAAGTTTTCTAACTTCACACCGTTGATAAAGGTTTGCTACTGTAAAGACAACATATTAAAGAAACGTTTTAAGTTGTAAAAATCTCTGTCCGATCTTATTCTGCAGGGAATTACTAATGTATTGATGCCATTGCCCATATATATATATATATATATATATATATATATATATATATATATTTTTTTTTTTACTCGTAGTGCTGACTTATTTGTCAAATAGACGGGATCAGTTTTACACCGTAATTTTACACCTGAGTAGCACATGAACTAAAAATGGTCATTTTCAGATCAGAATAAATTGGTTAAAATCCAACTACAAACTATTGAACTCAAATATCACCCACTCATTTTGTGTTAAAAACAAGCTCAATATTTCATTTAAGATTACTATTACTGATTTATGCTGGGGTCGCAGAGGGCATTACAGATTTTGGTCTAATATCTACATATTTTATTTGCCCAGCCGTTTCCTGATCAAACCGGGTATACACACAATGGCCAGGTAATAGAAAACAGTAGTTCGGGCAGATATTTTCTGTTTTATCTAGGTAATAAGACATGCTTAATTTGAAGTACACGAATTTGTTAAAATTGGGTTATACTCGCCGTGTTAAGTACCCGAGTATCGTGGTAACGACAGAGGCCTGCGGCTCATAGATGTGAGCTTGCGGTGACCTTTGAAAAAGTCGTCTTGAACCGTGACGGGATTTTTAAAGTAGCCAACCCTTTTTTAAACAATTTAAAATAATATGTAAAATTAATGCGGCCACTGGACTTCTTGTTCTTGCTGGTCGGTACACAAAAATGAACCGACCCTTAAAGGCAACTTTACGTCGATAGTTTGAGGATGAAAATAATGTTTTTGAGAAGGCTATGCAGTGTACGTGAAATAAGTCCATGTCAGTAATGGCGAACTACGTCTTTATTACTAAGTGTAAAACAGCTGCCTTGTAATAATCTAAATACCCACAATGTTTTGTTATTTTATGTCGAAGGCTCATAAATGATGCTAAGAATCAAAATAATTACGATTTTGTGATAGATCTCTCATCATAAATACGTCATAAATGTCAATCAAATACCGCATTTCAATTCATTGAGGCATTTCTGTCCGAAATGAGAGAAATTCAACTCAGCTGCTCAAGTCTACGCTTCTTTCAGATACATCCGCAGTAGCCAGCTATATATTAGGACATCATCGAGGTTTGCAATATGTCAATGGACATTTGCCAAGAACACGTCATCTGAACTATATTAATCCCGAGGGCAATACTTTTAGCCCCGATTGTGTGATAGTGTTAAACCCCTAAACCACCGGGAACTCTTACGCCACAAAAGTTTCATGGAAAAATCCGGTAGCAAGATTCAGAATGTATAAAAGTTTAAGTTTATAAAAGCCCTTTAAACTAATGTTATTTCATTTAAAAAAGCTAGTAAAGAGTTAATTTCTCTCTCTGTTTTCTTTGCTGTGTCTTGTGGCTCATTGCATCAGAATGGCGTCTCTCCTTGTTTTACAAATGAAAAATAAATAAATAAATAAATAAATAAATAAATAAATAAAATAAAATGGTTTCACTGATATTACTGAGGGTCATTTTACAGTAGCAATTTCAACTGTTGGCTTTTAACTGTAGGCCTATTTGACGGTATGTCTTTTGGCAGATAGGAGTCTTGACGTAAAAAGATTTGTAGTTACGATATGTTTTCCGTATCATCTACTTACTGGGATTGTGCGACTGTTTTTGGATGCATATCATTATGAAAATACGGAAATATGTTGCTTGTGCGAAATGTATCATCTTCTACATCAAAGGGAACTCTTTAGGATTGTGGACAAGATTTCAGAATCTAAGTCAAGCCAGCTAAGTGTGCTTCCCGACATGGAAATGTCAACACTTCCTCGAGTTTTTGCAGATTTCTTCACAAACCGGATCAAGGATATTCGTAAGGACTTAACTCAAAATGCTACCACAGGATCCTCAGAATCAGATCCATTACCAAGTGAATTTCAAGACAGGTGTGCCAGTCAGGGTGGCGGGGCCCAACTGAGCAATTTCCTACCGGTCTCAGAGAAGGATATTATCTCTGTTATAAAGGGGATGAATTCTAAGTTTTGTGCTCTGGATCCCATGCCAACATATATAGTGAAAGAGTGTATTAGTGTGTTATCTCCAGTTCTCCTGAGATTAGTAAATCTGTCTTTCTCAACAGGTATCTTTCCATCAAACTGCAAAACTGCAATTGTTAGACCATTACTTAAAAAGCAAGGGCTGTGTAAAAATGTCCTGAAAAACTATAGACCAATATCAAATCTACCCTTTTTAGGTAAATTTCTTGAAAAAATGGCATGTTCCCAACTATGCAGCNAAATTTTGGACTTTGTGGTTCTTTGGAATAGGTTTGCCAACATCAAGGCTACCCATGCATCGATGGATGCTGCACAATTTGCTACATTGTAGCGAAGACAACATATGCAACATGTGCGACTGAAAGGTGCAAAGTTAATGTAAATGTCCCTTTCTTTAAAGGCTAATATTGCACCAGTCTTTTTGCGTTTTGAAACTAAAGCTGTTCTTCTTATTAAATGCCCACTACAATAACCCCGCAGACGTTATAAATAACTCAGCAATCACGTGACTCATTGTGAGGTTGCACATGCGGGGAGCGAGAGAAAACCGAGAATTAGGCTACAGATTTCGCCGATTATAACTTCGCCGGGATATATCGCCGTTTGCCACCAGGTGGGTTCGGTAGTACACTAATTCAACACTTTAATTTCGTAATGGCTCGTACGTAGTCAACGTAGAAATGTCGAAATCAGGCAAAACTACCTCGATGCTTTCGTGACATCTTTTGCATTACCAAAATGGCGGACTTGCGTTATACGCCAGTTCGGGTTGCGCAGAAACATTGATTAATTAGCCGAATTTCGCGCATTGCAATAGAACGCTGCAGCAGTGATTAGATAAATTGATAGCTTAACTAGCTGTGTATTAAATCTCAGAACGCTCTCTAAATAAGAAAGACGCTGATGAGTCGAATTCTGTGCAGTAATTTTAAAGGGCTGGAGGTCAGCGAGTAGAAGGTCGGACGAGCTTGTCGGCTTTAATAGGTGCACACTTGGGTTGTTCGCTTGTCGAGTTCTTTTACGGGCGTGACAGCACACGTAGAAGAGATACTTATCCAATCGCTCTTTTGGAATTTAAAGATAGACCTGTCATGCTCATTTTAATACAGTGAAACTCGAAAAGATATCACATTAATGTTGTGGTAGAATTCAATTAATTAGGGCAGGCGCAGACCTCGACGTATCTACATCATATGTCAGTCGCGAATAGGGTCTGGAGAGTGTTGCATCGACTTTGGAATATTTCGGTATTAAAGTTTTTGTTTGTTAACTCACAAGGGCATTGTCGTATGAAAAACAGCGTGAGGAGGGCCGTTTTAGACCTATTTTGATCATGAGCTAGGCCTACCGTTTTAATCAGAAAGACGCTGTATCGATTTTAAATTAATTTTCTTGAAATCAGTAGGCCTGTTCGTGTCATTGCAGGTTTTATCATAAATTGGAAGTACATCGTTAACATTTCCACATAAATTTTTATACCTATTTGTAGCTCCTTTGGGATGGTAATTAATTTGAAAATCCAATTCGCGAAAGTGCGTAGGCTTATATTAAGTGGTTGAGATACTCGCTGTTTTTAACCACACACGCAATTTGAGCGTATTAAGCTCTACTGTTTCAGTTGCCAATTTACTTTTATTTCACAGAATTAATTTTAATTCAGCCAATTCTGTCACATTAGGTAACCCTTCACGTTTCAGTGTCAATTGTATTTGATCCGATCAGTGCTGATCAGTTTAAATCTGCATTCTTGTATACATAGTATTTTGCTGAAGAAGAAAAAAATTGGTACTATTTTACATGACTCTTTTTTACTTCAACATTTTTGTCGTATTCTGTATGATGATTGACCTGAAGTAATATTTATTTCCCAGCTTTCTCAAGTTAAATATCTGAATGCACATTATTTATGACGAATGAGTTTCATGATCTATTCGTGACCGAAGTGATACATATTCCTGAAGAAATATGATGGGTTATCAGGCGTGTACTGAGATCATACTATAACATACAAATGAAATACTTCGAAGAAAAAAAAATCATTTAGTGAATCTAACTGTTAGAATTGAAAGTGATTGTGAAATGGAATCTGTTAATGAAAGTAAATCTGATTTTGCAAGTGAATCTGATTGTTAAACTGATACGTAAACATTGCTACATGTATGAGTAGACATGTTTTACTACTTATTTGGCATGGATTTTGGGAATGAATACTAAAAGAACTAGCTCGTTACTAGCATTCTCGATTTCATGGATGTCTAAGCCTTATAAATGATATTGGTATATAGTTTTTTCCCCTAGTAAATCAGCCATTTCAAAATATATCAGTATATCAAATTTTAAGTTGTGCGACTTGTCTTCGATTAAAGAATGTGCTTTAATTTTCTTGAATACTTATCTTGATATATGTTTTTTCATTTGCTACAATGTATCATCTGTTTTAGCCTGAATTTTGAAAGCGTTATTTAACTTGGATCAATTTAATACTTATTTAGGACCTTATTGTATTCCTTTTTTTTCATGTTGGCTTTATATTTTTGTCAGAAAATATCTGTCTTCATAAATATTTAACTGAAAGTTTGTCAGGGAACCAGGATATTCAAGTCTGTTACGGTTAGAATGGATGTCAAGGAAAAATGTCTGAATTAAGAGGTTGTTTTACTACTGTGGCGATTTTGACCTTGCCCAGAAAATCGAAATATTTTACTCTAAAATCCTACGTAAACATTGATAGGCACAATGTTTGAACTCCAAACAATATATTAAAAAGCACTTGGTATTTTTTTAAATAATGTAGATATTTTGATTTTTTAAAACTATTTATTAATATATATTTTTTACTATTTTACGTAGCTTTTTTTGTGATCACGTCATTTTAAAAAAATTGATAAAAGAGAATAAAATATGCAGAAGAATGTGGCGAGTCCAGAATGAATCTTAAATAAGTTTTAGTTTGATTTTCATGTTTTAAAGGTTTTGTGTAATATTCGAATTAAATATTCTGGCTGTTTTTATGACAGAGGGCGTATAGGGCATTAACATAGACATAAATATATTTGAGGAAGTAAAACGGTTTAGATAAGTATCATGTTCAAAGTCGTGTGTCGTCTGTGTAAATTTGCATGAATGTTTATTGAAGTTACTGTTATTTCTTAAACAAACATCAATAGACAACATCGCTCAGATAGTTGGAAGCTATGTGTGTTAGTTTGCGGTATAGACCCTCGAGCTTACGTGGAGGACCTTGCTTACGTCACAACGCCTAATTCTCACCAGCTGGCATACGTGTTTTTAAGCTGCTTTGCCTTCCATCAGTTTAATTTTTACAGCACAAAAAAAAAAAATAATAATAAAAAAAAAAATAAATAAATAAATAAATAAATAAAAAAAGTCGAAACCCATCCCTTGTGTTTTGACGTAAAATAAAAGTTTTTAACTTCACACAGTTGAAAAAGGATTGCTACTGTAAAGCCAACATATTAAGGAAACGTTTTAGGTTGTAAACATCTCTGTCCGATCTTATTCTGCAGGGAATTACTAATGTATTGATGCCATTGCTCATTTATATCTTTTTTTCCTCGTGGTGCCGACTTAATTGTCAAATAGACGGGATCAGTTTTACACCGTAATTTTACACCTGAGTAGCACATGAACTAAAAATGGTCATTTTCAGATCAGAATACATTGGTTAAAATCCAACTACAAACTATAGAACTCAAATATCACCCACTCATTTTGTGTTAAAAACAAGCCCAATATTTCATTTTAGATTACTATTACTGATTTATGCTGGGGTCGCAGAGGGCATTACAGATTTTGGTCTAATATCTACATATTTTATTTGCCCAACCGTTTCCTGATCAAACCGGGTATGAACACAATGGCCAGGTAATAGAAAACAGATCATTAGGGACGGTGCAGGGGCGGATCTAGAGATATTTTCTGACAGTCTTCCAAACTATCTTTGTTTATCCATCTTCCATTTTTGACCGTCTTCCGACTTAAAAAATGGATACATGTCAATGTAAACTTGAAAATCTGACCGTCTTCCGAAAGACCCAGAAGACTGCCTCAATCCGCCCCTGCGGTGGGCTACATGTAGGAGGGGCAGATATTTAATGTTTTACCTAGGTAATAAGACATGCTTAATTTGAAGTACACGGATTTGTTAAAATTGGGTTATACTCGCCGTGTTAAGTACCCGAGTATCGTGGTAACGACAGAGGCCTGCTGCTCATAGATGTGAGCTTGCAGTGACCTTTGAAAAAGTCGTCTTGAACCGTGACGGGATTTTTAAAGTAGCCAACCCTTTTTTAAACAATTAAAAATAATATGTAAAATGAGAGTGCAGCGATTAATGCGGCCACTGGACTTCTTGCTATTGCTGGTCGGTACACAAAAATGAACTGACCCTTAAAGGCAACTTTACGTCGATAGTTTGAGGATGAAAATAATGTTTTTGAGATGGATATGTAGTGTACGTGAGATAAGTACATGTCAGTAATGGCGAACTACGTCGTTATTACTAAGTGTAAAAACAGCTGTCTTGTAATAATCTAAATACCCACAATGTTTTGTTATTTTATGTCGAAGGCTCATAAATGATGCTAAGAATCAAAATAATTACGATTTTGTGATAGATCTCTCATCATAAATACGTCATAAATGTCAATCAAATACCGCATTTCAATTCATTGAGGCATTTCTGTCCGAAATGAGAGAAATTAAACTCAGCTGCTCAAGTCTACGCTTCTTTCAGATACAACCGCGGTAGCCAGCTATATATTAGGACATCATCGATGTTTGCAATATGTCAATGGACATTTGCCAAGAACACGTCATCTGAACTATATTAATCCCGAGGGCATTAGTTTTAGCCCCGATTGTGTGATAGTGTAAAACCCCTAAACCACCGGGAACTCTTACGCCACAAAAGTTTCATGGAAAAATCCGGTAGCAAGATTCAGAATGTATAAAAGCCCTTTAAACTAATGTTTTATCTCATTTAAAAAAAGCTAGTAAAGACTTAATTTCTTTCTTTGTTTTCTTTGCTGTGTTTTGTGGTCATTGCATCATAACGGCGTCTCTCCTTGTTTTACAAATGAAAAATAAATAAATAAATAAATAAATAAATAAATAAATAAATAAATAAATAAAATAAAATGGCTTCACTGATATTACTGAGGTTCATTTTACAGTAGCAATTTCAACTGTTGGCTTTTAACTGTAGGCCTATTTGACGGTATGTCTTTTGGCAGATAGGCGTCTTGACGTAAAAAGATTTGTAGTTACGATATGTTTTCCGCATCATCTACTTACTGGGATTGTGCGACTATTTTGATGCATATGCAAATACAGACACATGTTGCTTGTACGAAATGTATGTGCTGTACAGTAGCATCTTCTACATAATTGCATTGATTGTCAAATTTATAATCTGACATGCTTTCTTTGTTAAACTCCACTTCTAAAAATATTCCTAGCTCAATTCTTCTCTCTATCAGGCTTCAGCTGAATGATGACGTCATTTTTGCACATAAATTCTCGCTGGACAGAAATGTGCAAAGAATTAGCAGAGAATTATCTATGAATATCTGGCCAAATTTCCCTGTGGCCCTGGTAGAGGGTAATAGTAGCCCTAATTCAAATCACTGACGTAAGCCAAGCAACTCGTTGATACGTAATCTGATATTTTTTTCCATTTGTTTATGTATCCTAGGGGATAGAGAATGCATTGCATATGATAAGTAGCTATTTTGATAATAATGGACTGAGTAAATTTGTGAAGAAATCGGAAGTATCGTTAATATGAGTATGCGGAGTTCTTGTCCGCAAATATTTCACTTAAAAAATCTGGAGAACAGCCAAACTAAATCATGATATCCGACAGTGACTAAATTAAGTATAAAACTACCACCGTGATTTAGAAATTGTAATACGTTGTGCTGACGTGAGTAGCCATATAACCGGTGCAAAAAAAACTGAAGGTTTGAAAAACAGAAAGTCCGTCCTCCGTTAGATTCATATATACGGGTTAAAGTTAGCGTGACGTAACTGGATCGTAATCTACGATGGATAAGACAAATCAATGGGAATCTGCCCACGGCTGTTTCACAGGTGTCTCTCTTTCTTTCTTGCATGACATCGGCGTCATTTGTTTCGGTGTAAACACGAAGTGAGGTAATGGTCATGTGACCAGGGTTTGCACTGACTGATGTCGGCACAAGGTCAGCGTTAACACGTTGTTTACAGCCTGGGCCAGACTATTATCAGCTGGAGTCTTCTCTCAGTTTCGTAAAATGTCTCTTAACTTATCAAGATAAAAAAAAAAGATTATAAAACCATATATAACGTATATACTTATGTTGTTATATCTGAGCGTCATAGTGTTGGTTAATTTAAAATCGTGACAGTTAATATGATAGTTAATATGATATATAAAAAGCTGCATGCTTTATTTTTACATTTAAATTTTAATAAACCAAACCTATCAGAGAACAGTATGCAAAAAAAAAAAAAAAAAAAAAAAGTTCCTCCAGAGAAATTAGGACGTCACACTGCTAAATATAACTGCGTGCTAGGCTTGGTGCTACCTATAGATAGAAACTGTGGTCCGTTTCACAAAACGGCTATAGCACCAAAGTTGGACTTAACTTTAAGACCCCCAAAAATTAGCATACTTTACTGTAGTCAATTTTTTTCAAAAGTAGCTATAGGTCTGAAACATGGGCCATGCCATTCTCGTTATAAAACAAACGCAATACTCCTTTATTGGACTACTACGGATTAATCTTGTATCAAAGTGGACTGAAATATGTCTAAAAGTTCAAACCAGTTTTCGGGCTGAACCTCTTTCGTGACACAAGCCCTCGTTATGGAGGCTCCAGGCTAATGCGGACAAAAATATTAGGCCTACATGCCCTCACCGTGTACTACATGGCTGTCTAATAACCCCTGTCACGCTGTGGTAAAAACCAAGCCAGGTTGCCCAATGTTATGATTGTGGTGAACCGCAGTATCAAGTAGTTGTGAAGCTTGCGGTTTTTGTGTCAACAGAAAAGGTCGGCAGCGCGCGGTTAAAAAGAGCACTTTTAAAGTGGCGGCTGCTGGCTTTTTGTGTTAGAAAGGTTGGGGTGGTCGTTAGTGTAAGGGTTTTTATATTCAGTGTGAGATTATTTTTGATACATATTTACATTTATAAATATGCGATGATATATAATAATAGGGTTAATGTTGTCATTATGTTCAATGAATAGTTTAAATGATCTTATGAATTCTTTATATCATTCATTCAAAACTCATTCTTAACACTAATGTCGCTCTTTGCGTTAATTCCTTCATTACCTCAGCTGTAATGTACCTTCTCTTTATAACTTCTTGGCTGAGTGTACTACTTCGTTACCTCGGGGTATCTTTAAGGCCATATTTCCTTAATTTAGCTTGGCCTGTTGAACTCTGTCGTTCCATATTCAGGGCCGTAGCCTGAGAAAAATGCCAGGGGGGGCAGTAAGCGGATACGAGGGGGCGAAGCCCCCGAGGTGGGAGGGGGTGTGGAAATTTTTAAAAAACTGTATGTATAATACTGCATTCTGGTGCATTTTAACTGTTATTTATTGCTCAATCAGAAGTCAGAAATTGTGGGCGAAGCCTCCGAGGGGGGACACCCCCTCCCACGGTGTGGAAAATTTTTAAAAACTGTATGTATAAAACTGCATTCTGGTGCATTTTCACAGAAAATGATACCAACTTTGCAATTTTTTTTTACCTTTGCGATTATTTTTTTTTTGCACCTCAAATCCCAGGGGGGCAGCTGCCCCCCCTGCCCCCCCGGAGGCTACGGCCCTGATATTTCATACCATTTTATGCAGTGTCGTCTTTTTGACATTAAGGGGTCAATAATATGGTTGTCTTACTAGTATTTAATTCAAACTGTTGTATATTGTAGCATGCACCGGACCACGCGCCTGAAGATCACGGAGTTGAACCCGCACCTGATGTGCGCACTCTGCGGGGGGTATCTCACAGATGCCGCCACCGTCGTCGAGTGTCTCCATTCTTGTAAGTATTGGAATTTTGCGATTTACTTAGTAGAATACCTTTAACACCGTGGAGAGAAGCGGTTTTGGAGAGGGGAGAGGAGCGACAGTCGTTGCTTTCCTAGCCGCTTTTAAACAGTATGGAAATACCCTTTCAAACGTAGTAATTGACGATTTAATCTTGGGCGTAAGAAAGAAAAAAAAGTTTCATAGTCCAAGTTATAATTAATATTTTGAAATATGGATAAGAGGGGGAAACGAAAGGTCAAGAGTGGATTCAGGGTTAGTGAAGTTCAGTGAGATTCTCGCTTCTTTGTTCACCAGGGGCAACTGTTGCACAAAATAACTTTAAGCCAGAAAATTGGCCCAAATTTTTAGATCGTAATTGTGGTCTGCTTTCATCCAGGATGGATCCGTAGTAAGCCAAGTGAAGCAAATATTACTTTGGCTTTTATGACTAGAAGGAAGACATGGGCGATGTTTCAATTTATTTCATATTTATTTGGAATACTGTGGATTAATCTTGGACTGAATTACAAAACTAATAAGTAAAGGACCGATTTTCTCGCTAAATTTCATTGTGAAACAGCCCCCGGTTTATTTGGTATCTCATGGTTTACTATAGACAGCGTGAAACACTGAAGACACTTTAAGCGGTGTTTGTAATTTTATAAATTATGTAACAAAAGATTATATCGGGAAAGAATGGTTGTTTTTTTACCAAACTCGAATTTAATTTTCATATATCATTAAGAAAAGGTGTTTTATTACAGTTTGCAAGACCTGTATTGTTCGATACATGGAAACCAGTAAATTTTGTCCTATTTGTGACGTCATGGTGCATAAGACGAAGCCGCTCACGAATGTCAGGTATGTATCATACTTTGTTGTCATGTGTTTCTCCTTGCCGTTAAGGTTCTTCCTCTTCTTCTTGCACTTCCTGTCTTTTCTCCCCCTCTTCCTCCATCTGTTTTCATAGTATGTGTTGCTTTTTTATTGCCTCTTTTAAAATTTTGTTCACTTTGTTGCCCTTGTTGTCCTGAAAAGCACCCAGAGAGCGTTACCTTCCACCAAGGACTTGACCTGTACTAAATTTTTGACGATTGACATCGCATTTGCTTGGACACTTTCGAGGAAGTTACAAAACGGAGTTAAGACGTAATTATTAGGTAACTTATGAAAGGCAAGGTACCAAAATTTTAACTTTAAAAAAAGAAAATGAGTCTAAGGACCACTACAAATAAATAATAACATGTGTTTTATGCATAGGCTGGACAAAACGCTACAAGATCTGGTCTACAAGTTGGTTCCAGGACTCTTTAAAAGTGAGTATTTTTTACGTATTCATCTTTAAAAGAGAACGGCACTGCTCTATTCACTGACTGTTTATGATTAAAGAAAATAACAAGTAAGAAAGAAACTTTATTCATTGTAACGTATGCATCTACATGGATAGATGAAAATGTACAAAAGGAATGCAAATATAAATACATATGAATTAAGTTAAATCGTGATATTGTACGACTCCTTGTATGAAAAATACCAAACATATTTGGCAGAGCCCAAATGGCTGTACCTACTCAACTGGTAATGGGTGCAGCACAGTCCCTTTTTTGGAAGGCTAACCATAAATATTTGGCAAGAGCAATAATATGTTCATTCTCCTTACCAGTCATTAAGTGTTTTAAATGTCCTTTTATTCCTGAATGACGCGTAAAATATTTCATTTGTTGTGTTTATGGTTTTAGTTAACACATTCGTTGGTTTTTATTTACTTAATTATAACATGGTAAGTTTTCCTATCAATAAAAAACTTGAGTCACAGTTACTGCACTCTATATTATTTTTTTTGTCAACTTCGAGTCACATTTTTTCTGGAACAGACACCGAAATATTTTTATTGAGCGTTACAGTTTTTTTGTATCGCACCAGTTCGAAAGATCGGCATGCTCAGGTTTATGCGTGATAGAATCACCTACACAGAGCTCCCGTGCCCGACAAGACCAGTAAACCAGATTTATTTTGATTTGTAGTACATTGGGGTATCCTCTACCAGGGCCGCAGTTTATATTATCTGTGCATTTTCTGTGACGCGAACAGAACTGAGAAAGAATGTCAATGTAACTAGAGACATATCTGTGAACACGTAGTGAAAAATCAACCTGTGGCCCTGGTAGAGTGTAACAGTAGGGCACGTGAAATATAGTAAAATCCCGGCACTGAATGACATGTACGGACCAGTCAAAATGGAACGATACAGAAAACTGTACCGCTCCATGTGAAGAGAGCCCTAGAGTGGAATAACTTTAGTTTCAATCTGTGATTTAAGAAATTACTGTGGAAACAAGTCACATGTGTGTTATATCTTTTGATTGTATTCTCTGTAGATGAAATGAAGAGGCGCCGAGAATTTTATTCTGCAAATCCTGACTTAGGTAAGTGGCGCATGATCCGCATCTCCTACCATTGCAGATATATATCAATATCAATAGGTCTTTGTGATAATAAAGGCTTTCTGCGATAATTCAGGTTACTAGGCGAAATGTTAAATTACGTAAAATCGTATTGACAATCTTTTAAAAAGGGACAGGACAGTCTTCTAGTAGCTTCTGATTTGCTGCTACGGTTTTCAAATTTTTACTGAAACAAATGGGATATTCATAGTAATATAAACAAATGTGTTACAAAATTTTAGTAATAATCAGCATTTTGTTCAAAATGTCAGATTTCCAGGGTCATCTAAAAGCATCAAGATGGCATTGATAATTATGGTATTTCGATGAAAAACGTCCCTGCCACTTCTGCTTGTAAAAATTATTTTGTTTACCAATTTATTGTGATTTTTTCCCCCCAAGTTTTCGACTCTTCATTGGAAGCCAGAGGAGAGGTGGCACCCGAAGATCGACTGATCTATACAGACGATGATAAGATAAGTTTGTCTCTGGAATATAGTGCCAAGTAAGTGCCCGTGAAACAACAACAGCAACATAATATCTTTTCTTGAAAACGTGGTCTTCTATAGAGATTTATTCACGCTTTGTGATATTTATACCCACATAGTGACATTTATATGCACGCATGGGGGTGTTTATGCAGATATCATGTACAAAGGTGGAAATGATGGGTGTGGATGAGTTGGGTGGGTCACATTTGCCTGTTAGATATCGGCTTAATAAACAATGGTAGCATCTCACACAGGGTTCCCACACTTAGATCGATCCATCTGGATCGACCTTACTCACTGGGGGTTCACGCTAAATTGCTATCAGCTCAAGAGGCTTAAATGTCTGTCTCGCCTACCGAATCAGCTAGGGGTAAAGATAATTACCCCCTAACAGTTTTACTAGGCGAGACAGACGTTTAAACCGGTCAGTTTGATAGCAATTTATTGAGGCTCCCCAGGGAGATAGATCGATCCAAATTCCATTGGGAATGGTCCCTAAGAGTGCATTCCCAGAGATTTAGATCGATCCATTCGGATCGACCTAACTCCCTGGGGGTTCACGCTAAATTGCAGTCAGCCGAGTGCGCACGGTAGTTAATTACCCCCTTACAGCTTTTAGTAGGCGGGACAGACGCTTAAGCCGACTAAGCTGACAGTAATCTAGTGAGACTCCCCACAGGGATAGATCGATCTAAAATTTGTTGGAATGGGGTCTAAGACTCAGTAATCTTATTCAATTTGTGACAAAGAATATACAGTTAGGGATCCGAAATGCGAAGGCTTGTTTGATTATTTCATTTTTTTTAAAATAGATTTTACTTAAATTTATTTACCTTTTGATAATTACAGATATGACACTTATTATATTTCTGATATTCTGGCAATGTAAATATTACATTTGATGTTCAATTAGTTACCATAAGGCTTTTTTCTGATCACTTCATGGTATCTCTACTTTGAATGTTATGCTTCGCTTACTCCGACAGCGGGAGACCAAACAGAGCGACTCAAGTGAAAAGCAAACGCCAGCCGAGGGCTGATGTGAGCGATGATAACGCCAGCAGAGAGAGCCTTACCCCAGACTTCAACGAAAACAATGAAAATGATTCCTCGGAGAAAAAGGGAAAGTTAGAGGTATGATATGAAGATGATAAGAAAATGTACGTATCTTCATAACAATTTTCACATTGTAAAAATTGTATGATTGTACAATCCGATTTTGTAGATGTGAAATGTGAATGTTGAAAATACTTTTCAATTACACATAGGAAAGTAAGGTGTATTATTATATTAGTAAGAAGGTTGGCCCTCACATTAAATCTGTGAGGGTCTGAACAACTAGACGATTTTGGGCTTCTTCTAATCACACATGACTGTTGCTTTTGGTTTTTTGTAGAAACACGAAAGAAGATATCTTCTATGTCCGGCTGGTTTTACTGTATCTCACCTGAAAAAATTCATACAGATGAAGTACGACCTGCCACTAAAATTCCAGGTAATGTAAAGACTTAGAATTATGATGTCAGTAACTCAATCTTGGGTGGTGATGATATATTTTATTCTTTAAATTTTGAGCAGTTCCTTTGAAACATGCAACCACTGCCCTGTGCTACAAAGTTTGATCCATGGGTGGGCGGGGGAGGACCCCTGTTTTCAAAGCAAAATGTAACATATAATCCCAAAAACAGGAGAAACAATACACAGCGAATTCTAAAATCATCTTATTATGTACCATATCATCATTTATTTATTGATTTTCGTGGGGAGAGGGGGGGGGAGGGGAAGTAGGTGTTAAAAGCGACTATGGTTCCTACAGCTATAGTATAATATTTTGAATCCTACAGTGTCTTGCTTTAGCTTTTTATCATAAGTTAGAGTGAACGTTCTACTTCTCTTTCTCAGATCCAAATCTTCCATTCCGATGAGCCACTGAGTAACGACTACACCCTGATGGACGTGGCCTATATCCACGCCTGGAGGCGGGTAAGTAAGCAGACGACAGCGAGAACATACGAGACAGGGGGTACTCAAACGAGACTTGCAAGCGACACCCTGGCAAATGTTTTTTTTGACAAAAGAAATACAATCATAAGTTAAAAGAGTTTATGGATATTATTCACAGATAAAAATTGCTTTGAAGACGTAATTGATGTATATTTCAATTTGAAAATCGAATCGTTTCACACTCGGGTGAGAAATTATGTGATAACAGTGACACACAAATGTAATGTACACTTGTAGGCTACTTTATCACAAAATAATAAAAATAATTCATGAATTATTAAATTCCAGCGAGGCCCTTTGCGGTTGTACTACACCATATACGAAGCACTCTTTCCAAAGCGATCGTCTGAGCACATAGAAGAGAAAGACCTCCACGTGTTGGAGCAGGGTGTTACATCAGACCTCAGCGAGAAGCAAAATAAGGACTCGGAGCCAAATAAAAAGAAATTTAAAAATGATTCCAGTTTAAAAAGCTCGCCCAGTACTGAGGGTGAATCTTACTCTCAAAATGCTTTAGTTTGCACAGAAAACAAATCAATGGATCTTAAGGAGAACGGCACGAATAGTGGCTTGAATAATAACAGAGATTTAAAAGACTCGAGCGTGGTTGCAAGTAATTCTAACAGCAGTGGTGCTACTAATGTCACGTCTCAGAACTTGGCGTCAGCTTCAAATGTTCAGACGCCGTCAAGTGAGCCCAGTGTTAATGGAAGTAAAGAAAGTGAAACAGACGTATTAAAAGGAGTCGCCTATACCAAGGAGGATTCTTCAAAATTGACAGTAGGAAATTCTCCAAAGGATTAACACACACAAACACACACTGTTTAAAAAGAGAGGCATTTGCCCAAGTATAAAAAACAGCAACATATCTACTGTCTTTTTCCATCATGTCGCATATAGAAAACCTACGATATTCAAAGTTAAACGTTATAATATGGATACAATGTCGCATGAATAAAACGTTTCAAAGATCAAATCTGGCAATTTAGAGCGTTGTGCAATGTTAAAAGAGAGTTGTTGTTGATGGGTGTTGGTACTTTGTGAACTGTATATCTGAACTCTGGGGGAAGATCCTTTTACCGGTAGCTCGTCCTGTAATTAGGGCATATCATCAATTTGTGATAACAATGGCTATCATCAAACAAATCCATTTTTTGTAAAGGCCAACAAAAGAGATGTACATGTATGTGAGATAATGAAGTGTAACGCAAAAATTTTCATATGACATCAAATTAACTATCATTTAAATATGCCATGGCCAATTAACGGGAACGGGAATAATACAGATGTCATCTTTGAAGTGCANAGTGTTAAAAGAGAGTTGTTGTTGATGGGTGTTGGTACTTTGTGAACTGTATATCTGAACTCTGGGGGAAGATCCTTTTACCGGTAGCTCGTCCTGTAATTAGGGCATATCATCAATTTGTGATAACAATGGCTATCATCAAACAAATCCATTTTTTGTAAAGGCCAACAAAAGAGATGTACATGTATGTGAGATAATGAAGTGTAACGCAAAAATTTTCATATGACATCAAATTAACTATCATTTAAATATGCCATGGCCAATTAACGGGAACGGGAATAATACAGATGTCATCTTTGAAGTGCATCTTTTCTTAAAATTTTATAATATTTGTCTTTGAACCACGAGAACTAAAGAAATTAATGTCATATGAAATGGAAAATATCAGCAGTTTTTGTAACCAGCAGCAGTTTTTGTAACCAGTACTGTACCCCGTATATGTTTAATAAATGTATTTGGCTCTCTATTTCGATATGTCCAACTACATGAACATCAAATGTTGATTTTTTTATATATGTTACAGGCCCAGTCCTAATCGAGTCCACTTTCTAAGACAAAGTTTAAAGACAATACAAAGCTTCAATCGACATCAAAAAGGTTTGTCAGTAAGACCCATTGGAAAGCCCTTGCTGTACTATTGAAATCCGATTGGCATCAAATGTTCAATCAGTGTCACGTGATATCTACCTTCGGTGACCTGACCCTAAGTGGGGGGATTTTTTTCTCTGCGCATGTGCTAATCTGGGAATTTCCATTTACCCTGGGAATTTTCCATTTACCTTGGGAATTTCCATATAATACTGCCTTGCTTCAGGAGAAACGGCAGGACAAGTCAGAAAACGGCGGAAACGGCACCACAGGCGACAGGCACCACAGGTCATTTGTTAATAAATGGCGCAACGAGTAGTTTTTAGAGGACTTTTCTGTGCAAAGATGAAAGATCGCTTTCGTCAGGGTTTACAATTGTATATTTTATGAAATATGTGTTAACATATTTATTTTTCTTTTTTATCTACAACGTTAAAGATTTCCTGAACTGCCGTGCCCAATACAAATGTAACTGATACGTGCAGAGTGGGCATTATAGAGGTAATCACAAGAAGTTGAACGATATTGAGGTACGCCACCCCACCCCTGCTTCCAACCCGCCACCCCCTCTCTCTCTCTCTCTCTCTAACACAACACTCCTCCCTCTTTCTCTCTTTCACCATGGACATAATGAAAGAAGGTCTCTCATTATGTCCATGCTTTCACTCTCTCTAGCTGATCATCCTCTGCTCAAAAAGAGTTTTGTTTTTGTTATGTTCTGAAAGCTATTACCTGTTTTTTGTTGTTGGTGATGGTAATATTTTTTTAATCAACAAGAGTTCAGGGTCCGATTTTAGTCTTTTCTAGAATACAACTCCTTCCAGTGCACAGTAACAATGCAAAGCTTAGTTTTCTTTAAGGTAAACATTTTTCATTGTTGTCGCACAGCCGTGATAATATATACAGTGTTGGGGTCTGGGCCATAAAACTGATACACAAACACTAGATAACTTTGAAAACCTAAGAGATGCCATCAACAATAAAATTGAGGAACTATTTTGGAAAGACCTGGAAAGTGATAACTACAGTAAACTCAGGACATACAGATTACTTAAAAAAACTTACACCCCTGAAAAATATCTGTCAATGAAAGTCACCCCATCAGAAATGAAGACTATTGCAAAAATGCGGATTAGTGACCACGAATTAGAAATTGAACGTGGCCGCTTTACGTCCCCTAAAACCCCTACTGAAAATCGCAAGTGCCCCCACTGTAATGAAATTGAAACGGAGATCCACTTTTTACTGAAATGTGAAGAACATAGTGACAGAAGAATTAGATTAATGATACCTCCTGAGCAGAAAACAGATCATGAAAAAATTCAGTGGCTGCTCAGTCCAAAAAGTGAATCGTGTTTGAGAACATTACATCTATATATAACTGAAAGTTTGAAAAAACGACACACCCACCAATAGCAATAGTCGTTTTATTCTGTGCTGCTTCCCAGTAATCATTCAATAAGTATTCGTATAGCTTTGTATAATTGTTGCTAAGTTGTTATGACTAGTGTAGAGAGCCTGTAAAATGTAATATGTATGCATTTTAGTGCTCAATAAAGATTATATGAATTATATAATTGAGAAGTACCTCTACCGATGGTCTATGGATAATACTATTAGTGGTGGGCGTGGACTTTATACCAGTATACCCACATGCCACGTGCTGTTGCTTCCGATATGCTTCCTTACAAGCTAAGTAACTTACATAGGCCTATACGTATATAGGCCTATATTGGCTGTGTCATATTTAGATACTTAAAACCTGAGTGCACCAAGTTCTAGGGAAGGTACACGCGTACGCTTTATTGGCATTATTTACTTAAAGCACAATTCCTGTCCTTGCAGAGTCTTGTATTAAGTTGATATTCTACTGCTGTGCCATCTATTAACACCTGACCTGTGGTGCCTGTGGCCTGTGTTGACGTTTCCGCCATCTTGTGACCTGCCCTGCCGTTTCTCCTAGAGCGAGTCTGCGTCCTCTCCATGTATCCCAAACTGTGGCGAAATTTTAATTGAGTAGTTTAAACGGATTATTTATTTTGTTGAAATTCGCCAAAAATGTCAGATGATAAGAGGCTACTTGTTAATGTTTTCATGTACAGAGCAAGTAGTAGACCTGTAAGAAGTATAGGCCTAACCCAGCATGATATAATCGCCTCATTAAATAGGTGGAGAGATAAGTACTGTGTTCCCGTCAAATTCAAAATAAACTGGATCGAGGAAGGAGTTCCAATCCAACCAGAAGTCTGTGATATACTTGTAGATGAGGAAGACAAAGGGTCTTTTTTATTTTACAGACCACGAGGTGAATACAATGCAGGTAGGCCTACACACACTTTTTGACTTACCTTGTGGCGTCACATTAAAAGGACAATAGACACATAAAAATCCATTTCTCCAATTTTGAAGATTCAGCACTCAATCTATACACTAGAAGTTTGTATTAATCGATCCCCGCCATTTAAAAATCATAAAAACAACCCATTAGTAGAAAAAAGCGTTTAGTAAACCTCACCTGCTTAAATGAAGCAACAGATCTGGGTCACGTGGTACTGCGACGACAATGAGGATAAAGGTCTATGAGACTTAACTGAGCTGCATGGTGCATACAGACAGAATAGTTTAGGAAAGTTGTTGCCGTGGGATTCCAGGGCCGTAGCCTCCGGGGGGGGGGGGGGGGGCGGGGGGGCAGCCGCCCCCCCGGGGTTTAAAATTTTCCCCCCTGGTAGGGGGCACCCCCCCCCCACCCCCCCCCCACGCCCC